TATCTGCTTCCTCTTCAGCACATTCTGAGCTCCTTCAAAGGAATCTCCTACCATCTTTATGCAGATGACATCCAACTGTCCATCTCCTTTAAGCCCCATGAGATGTCTAAGCTGCAGCTGTTACACACCTGCTTAGACTCAAAACCTGGATGGCTGGGAGCTTTCTTCAAATGAATGAAGGTAAGACTGAGATCCTCATCTGTGCCCCAGACAAGCTGGTTCCCAAAGTCAGAGACTCTCTTGGTCAGCTTGCTTCCCACACCAAACCTTCTGTCAGGAATCTTGGCGTGACCTTTGACCCAGCTCTCACCCTGGATTCTCATGTCATTTCTCTTGTTTGCTCTTCCTTCTTCCATCTCAGGAACATTGCTAAGCTGAGTCCCGTTCTGTCCCGCTCTGAACTTGAGACAGTTCTCCACACCTTCATCTGCTCACGCTTAGACTACTGTAACTCTCTTTTCACGTGTCTGAGCAGAACCTCCCTGAACCGTCTACAGGTGGTTCAGAACGCCTGTTCTCGGCTTCTGACAAAGTCCTCCAAACACACCCACATCACCCCGCTTCTCCTCCAGCTTCACTGGCTGCCAGTCAACTTCAGGGTTCATTTCAAGATCCTGGTTCTGGTCTATAGGGCCTTACATGGACAAGCACCATCTTACATTGGTGATCTTCTTAGTCCCTACACCCCTAGGAGGTCCCTGAGGTCCAGTGATCAAAGCCTACTGGTTGTGCAACACACCAGGCTAAAGACCAAAGGTGACAGATCATTTGCTGCTGTGGCCCCCAGACTCTGGAACTCTCTCCCCCTGAGCCTGAGATCAGAGGACTCAGTGGTCTCCTTTAAAAAGCAGCTGAAGACTCACTTGTTCAAGCTGGCTTTTGTATGACCTTCTTCACCTCACCCTATCTCTAAGGCTGAGCCCGGCCACCCTACGGAGGAAACTCATTTCGGCCGCTTGTATCCGCGATCTCGTTCTTTCGGTCATTACCCAAAGCTCATGACCGTAGGTGAGGATTGGGACGTAGATCGACCGGTTAATCGAGAGCCTGGCTTTCTGGCTCAGCTCCCTCTTCACCACGACAGATCGGCTCATGGATCGGCTCATGGATCGGCTCATGGAGCTCGGACATTCGGGAGGGACTCGGAGTAGAACCGCTGGTCCTCCTGATTGAAAGGAGTCAGTTGAGGTGGTTTGGGCATCTGGTCAGGATGCCTCCTGGATGCCTCCCTGGGGAGGTGTTTCGGGCATGTCCTGCCGGCAGGAGGCCCCCAGGACACGTTGGAGAGGTTACATCTCCAATCTGGTCCGGGAACGCCTTGGGGTCCTGCCGGAGGAGCTGGTGGAGGTGGCCGGGTAGACAATGGTCTGGAGCTCCCTAGTTGGGATGCCGCCCCCACGACCCGGACCCGGATAAGCGGAGGAAGAAGACAACGGTGACGACGATGTATTTAACGGTAATTATTTATTTTGTAAATTGGAATAGGTGTTTCTGTTCTCAAGAACGTAATATTAAATTGGCTTAAAGCACATATGCACACATCACTGGCTAAGCAAAACGTGTACAGGTTGGCAGGTCTGGGTATTGTAGACTCAGATTGCGTCGGATGGTTTTTATAAAAAAAAATCTGTAGTTTAACAAACATACAGCCAAATTCTTTTACAACCCAGACTCCACAAGCTCTCTCAGACACTTAAACAGCAAGTCACCCCCAAATCAACTTTTTTTACTGATAAACTATATGAATGAGTGTCTAATTGTGCTGTAGAGGCGTGTTTTCAAAATTTTGCCACTTTAGTGCATCTTTGTTAAAATTTAAATACTGATGCTAACCCAAAGCTAAAGCGGAGGTGAGAGCTAAGCTAACGGAGGTAGCAACCTGGCTACAACCAGAGTTAACTGTGCACAACACCAGAGCTTCTGAGTCAGAGATACGCTGGGCTGACCGCTGGGTAAAACCAGGTGGAACAGAGAGGTCTCCCGAAAGTTGCTGAAAGCCGGCAGCCGCACAGCAGACAGAAGCCATGATCAGACAGAGATGGACCGAGCTGCAGGGAGGGGATAAGGGTGGAAAACATCGGTCTCCCGAGAGCTCCACAAGCCGATAGTGGGAACCCAGCTCCACCAACATGTTATATTTCAACCCATTTTCTAAAGTGCAGCATTATGTTAAATGCACTGGGTTTTACCCTATTACATTTAAATTCCATGGTTAAACAGTACATGTTAAAATCTAAGCTCAGCTCGGCAGTGACCTAAAATACATAAATATAATTTTACTTACCGAAAAAAATGAAGTGGAGACTCCTTGGATGCTCTATTAGCGCAATTAATGCCACTGCAAGTCATTTTGTCCAACAATTGCACAAATAATATCCAAAAAAGAATACACAAACACAGAGACTCAAAATCCCGGAACAGTTTCCAGGCCAGACCGAGGCTCTACTGAGGCCTTTCCACGGAGCTAGCTCTGTGGTCACGTGGGTCTGATGCTCATTAACCATACATCATTTTAGGCTTTTAATACACTTAAACAGAAGAGTGAGAAAAAAAATTCACCCCCTCAGAGTTGTCATGAGTGTAAACTAGATAATTTAAACCAAAAACATGTTTTGGTACCAGGCAGTAAACATGTTTATTTCTGCTGTGAAATTGGTATTTTTAACATGGGAGTCAATGAGGATTTGCTCGCTTCTGACACCAGCCCCCAGCGGATGAGGGCGGAACTGCAATTTTTGGTACTTCCGGGTTGAGACCAATTTTTGAGCCGCATTGTGGGGGCTTGGTGATGAACAAAAGAACGAGATCATGGATACAAGCAGCCGAAATGAGTTTCCTTCGCAGGGTAGCCAGGTTCAGCCTTAGGGATAGGGTAAGGAACTCGGATACCCAGGAGGGACTCTTAAGTGGAGCCACTCCTCCTCCGCATCGAAAGCAGCCAGTTGAGGTGGTTCGGGCATCTGGTCAGGACACCTTCTTGACGCCTACATCGGGAGGTGTTTTGGGCATGTCCTGCCGACAGGAGGCCCCTGGGTCGACCCAGGACCACCTGGAAGAAATACATCCCTAGATTGGCCAGAGAAAGCCTGGGTGTCCCAGCTGAGGAGCTGGCAGACGTGGCCGGGGAGAGGATTGCCTGGGAGGCCCTACTTGGCGTGCTGCCCCTGTGACCCAAACCCGGATAAGCGGAGGAAGGTGAGGTGAGGTGTGCACACATTTAATGAAGCTTCAAATCAGTAATAAATGAATAAAGGAAAATAATGAATCAAACCATTCAAATAGCTTTTCAGCCCTAGCATTAATGAATCAAAATAACTGTTTATTGTTGAAATCCATTATTTAAGATTTTAAATACCATCAATCCATCCATTTTCATCCACTTATTCAGAGTCGGGTGACGGGGGCAGCGGCCTAAGTCGAGAGGTCCTGACGTCCCTCTCACCAGCCACTTGGGCTAGCTCTTCCGGGGTAATCCCAAGGTGTTCCCTGGCCAGGTGAAAGACATAGTCCCACTAACGTGTCCTGGATTTCCCATTAGGCCTCCTCCCAGCTGGTCATGCCTGGAAAACCTCACCAGCAGGTGTCCAGGAGGCATGCTAACTAGAAGCATGCTACCCAGGAGCCACCTCAACTGGCTCCTCTCGATGTGAAGGAGCAGTGGGTCCACTCCGAGTCCCTCCTAGATGACTGAGCTTCTCACCCTATCTCTAAGGGAGAGCCCAGCCACCCTGTGGAGAAAACTCATATCAGCTACTTGTATCCGCAATTTCGTTCTTTCGGTCACTACCCAAAGCTCGTGACCATAGGTGAGGGTAGGAATGTTGATCGACCAGTAAATCGAGAGCTTCGCCTTCTGACTCAGTTCCCTCTTCACCACAACAGATCGGTACAATGCCTGCATCACTGCAGATGCAGCACCAATCTGCCTGTTGATCTTGCGCTCCATCTTTCCCTCACTCGTGAACAAGATCCCGAGATACTTAAACTCCTCCACTTGGGGCAGGACCTCATCCCTGATGAGGTTTTAAATACACCAAACTAATCTACTTGGTAAGTTATTGATGATTTTATTATCAGTCAGGTCACAGTTTAATACCAGTATATTAACAATGACAGTTATATCATAGCTAGATCCCACAATAAGTGAAATACTCCTTTAAGGGTCTCTTACCAACAGATGTGATGTCAGGGGACTTTGATAATAGAATAGAATAGACTTAATTGATCCCACAGTGGGGAAATTCACTTGTTACAGCAGCACCAACACTTAAGAGAATAATTTGAAGAAAATCCAAAGGGTTCAAATGAAGGGAACAGGCACACTGCAGGAATAAAAACACAATTCATTTCAACCTGCAGGGTTTCCTTACAGAAAACTTTTAAATGATTAGAATGAACTGAACTCAAGGCTCAATGTTTTCTTTGTAAAGGGCCTTGAGACAACTTGTGCTGGGAATTGGTGCCACATAAATAAACGGAATTAACCTGATGTGGTTCCAAGCAGATCATGACAGGCGGACAAGTTGGTCAGAAGAATGTTGGGTACTGATTGGCTAATGGATGGAGTCATCGACACTCTACTGTACTCCCACCTTGCTGCCTGCAGTCTTTCCCGATTCTGTACTTTTGGGACTCTGACAAAAAGGCAAAGACTGCAGAATGTTCAACATTGCTACGATGTCCTCCACTGTTGCATTTTGTTGTGTTTATGTCCGGTTAGAGTTAGGGTTTGACCTTGTGCTAATATTACGTAGTGCACGAATCACCTAGCACAAATTTTTCGACTCCAGGGGCTGCCCCACTATGACAGAAGGCAGCGAGAGACCTTTATTATGCATATCCTGGTGTTGTCTCCTCCCAATCCCTATCAAATCTCACAAACACAGAAACGCAGCTGATGGAATGTCCATATGAACATTCATGTTAATTTTACAAATCTTAAAAAAGCTCAGGCTGATGATCAGCTGAAAACCAAATGCTTGCATGTGTCAGAAACTCACTCTCTAGGACTGGAGCACTCCGATCATTGACATCATTGACCTTCTTCAGTCTGGCTCCTTTGCAGATGTCTGACAGAAGTGCTCCTCTGCCTTTTGCCTCAGAAGAGCTCAGTTTCGGAGGAGTTGTGTTTGCCTGTGGAAGATGTTAACAGCTTGAAATGAGATCCTGTGACTTGAACCAGAGCAGACCAAGCTACACATGTGCAGAGAGCCAGGGTTAGGAAATCAGCTGCTGGTTCCCCACAAAGCTCAAGTTTTTGTGAGAGAACAGCACCAACGTTGGAACAAATGGAAATGTAATTTTTTATTACACAGTCAGTAGTGAGCTTACAAAACTGAACAAAATGAACAACCAGTGAATATTAGTGCTGCATCATGCATGCATGACGAAAATGTGCTAACTCTATGCAGAAAGGCCACAGCCAGGATTCAAACTTGCAACTGTTTTTCTATGAGGCAACAGTCATACCCGCTGCACCACCATGAAGCCCTGTACTGTATATGTACTAAATGGACTGCTTTTTAATAAATTGGACTTAAAACATACCTTTAATGTCGGGCTTTAAATTCCTAAGGGTCCTCAAACCTTCAACTTTGGTCATATTAAGCTCTTTTATCCGTTTTACCTTTTTTAGCTTTTATTGGTTGCTTTTATTTTCATTTTAAACCTATTTTGGTTAATTAATTTTAGTGTCAGAATTTTTGAGTCTTACTTTGAAGCACTTTGGCCGCCACTTTCGGTTCCCCAACCCTGGTCCGTAAGGCCCCACGGTCCTGCATGTTTTCCATGTCTCTGCTACAGCAGACCTGAGCTGATATTTGCACTGCCCCTCCTCAGGAGGACATCAAGTGCTGAAGATGCCTGTTAATCACTCATTCATTTCGGTCAGGTGTGTGGCAGCAGAGAAACACTAATGTTTGAATTAGGGTTGTCACGGTGTGAAAATTTAACCTCACGGTTATTGTGACCAAAATTACCTCGGTTTTCGGTATTATCGCGGTATTTTTTTAAACGTGTTACATTTTAAGACAACTAAATAAACCCTGTATATCAAGAAAATATTGTCCTCAGTTTGTGTCTAAATTTTGCCTAAAATTTGTTATTTTATAATTATGTTGTTTATTTGTTTACATTTTTTCCCCTTTAGTCTTTAAAATACCAATATTTGCCCATAACTTATTATTTTTTGTCTGTTTGATATCATTTTAAAAATATTAGATCAGATGATACTCAGTAATCAAATAGCCTTCTAATCCAGGGTTTCCCTTACATAGGCGTAGCCGTGGTGGGCCGCCACGGCTGAAATCCCACCGCCACGCCTACAACATCCCAAGTTTTAATGATGTTTTTTTTTTTTTGCGCCGTTTCCCGAAGAAGCAGCGGGAACTACTGTGTTGTTGCTTGTGATCACAGCCGGCAGGTAGCAAGGAGGAGGAGGCAGGGCAGGGTGGTTACAGCTATGAGCGTACGGATAAAGCATTTTTGACGAATACGAGCAAGAAACGAGTGTAAAACTCAAAAATATCTGTAATCACGCTGAATGAAATCCTCATTGGGTAACTGACTGTCTTCACGCTCTGTGATTGGCCAGTCAGATAGAGAGCCCGCCCCTCCCTACACACAAAACTGCAGCCGGGAGCTCAGTCAGCTCGGCCCAGGCATCAACGCACACACACACAGACACTAAAGCCGGGCGTGCACTGTGCGACTTTTTCACTTTTTTGAGCAGATTTTCCACTCGTGCGAGAATCCACAAGATCGGGGCGAGTTTTGCGCTGAGAGTCGTGTAGTGTACAGGGGGTTACGAGAGGCGATTAACACCACGTGACCAGCTACCGATCAGCAATCGTGAGCTCGCACGGACTTCTGGAGTGTTTAATATTTATCTCGTTCCTCATGAGGGTTGAAGCAGCGCAGCGAGCGGCTGCGACCCAAAAAGTATCAGAACCGCTCACGGCGCATTCGCATTCCTGCATCAACTCCGCTCACCCGCTATTTCCCTAATAACACACGCTGTTCGTTTTTATTTCTACACGTTTTTTACTCACGATGATTGTCAAGAAAGCGTGTTTGTCGTGTTCATGTCAAATTAAACTGATCACAAAACAGATTTACTTTCTTTATTTCGTTTCCTCATCCAACCCCCATGAATCCCTGTGTGTCCTCCTGCAGCACTCCCGAAGGACAACAGGCAAGACAAGACAAAAAAGTCTGACGTGTTGTGTAAAAACTGCTATTTTTAGCATATTTTAGGTCCGACGTGTTGCTACCAGACGTACAGTGTGAGCACATGACTCGTGAGATCTGCTCTGCACTGAAGTCGTACAGTTTGAGCTGAAGCTGTGTTACGAGTGAAAAAGTCGCACAGTGTCCGCCCAGCTTATTATAATGTTCACTGTAATGCATCTAGATGTTCTTAACAAATAAATTAAATCAAAGATATTGGTCAGTAATGCCAAATATGTAAATTTGGGTTTCAGTCATTTTTATACTGACTTAAAAATACTTCATTAAGTCTACTAAGCAGGGGTGTAGAAGGTGTTTAATAGGGCCAGCCCACTAATGATCTTGGACCAAAATAAAGGGGGCAGAGAGTCAAATAAAGGGGGCAAAAGAAGATGTTTTTCCAGACGCCAAGAAAAATTAAATGCCAAATCCACCCTGCAAAGTGTGTCACTGAGAGTTTAAAACAGAAATTATTCTTGTGCAAATATTGGTGTACTCACATTTAATACTAGTTATTAAAATGCAGCAGTCGCTGGATTGGTGCAGTTCAAAGTGGAGTGCATCAAATAAAACAATATTAACATAAAGGTGAGACGTGTCATACCCCCCCCCCCCCCCCGCCAACACCACCACCACAGCTGGAAAAATTCCTAGGGGAAACACTGTAATCAGATACTTTTTTACCCTTACTTGAGTAATAAACCCTATATCAGGAGAATATTGTCCTCGGTTTGTGTCCTTCCAGTGAGCTTTGCAGATGTGGGAAAATGTCATCAGGCAGTAATCATTGTTAAATTCATAATTATTCTCGGAGAGAGACCAACTCTTATCTGCCCCTGTGAGCCCCGTAATGCATAGCGTCATTTCAACATGGCGGTGTCCGCGACACGGTTTATATGCAGGTAGCGGCGCTGCGGCTGCTTTATACTATAGCCACTCGTTGCATTCTCCCTCAACCCAAATCCTCGGATCACGCATTTTAGCTAAAACGCTAACGTTAGCTTGCCTTGCGTTGACTGTGGAGTTGTGGGTGATGGTCACGCAGATGTGTCATGAGATTTGAAGCGTTGCTGCCTTTCACAAACACTTTTTCTGCACGAGCTGCAAACAGGATAGCCGTCTTCTATCAACTGTCCCTCGGCATTCCTCAAATATCCAAAAGATGCCCGTACTTCCGACTTTGACTTCTCTGAGGGATAAAAAATGTCCTGAGTGCTGCCATCTCCTCCTTTGGCCATTAATTCAGCTTTAGCATCAAGAAAGTTTTGGTTGTAAACAACAAAGTGCGCACGTGCCGCCGGCAACTTCAGCAGATGATACGGTGGCTGGTAAGGGTCACCACGCCTACACCGCAGCCACGGTAAACCCACCGAGATAATATTTATTTTTTAAAAACAAGACGGTTATTATTGTCAACTTTTTTACCGGGGTTTACCACTACACCGGTTACCGTGACAACCCTAGTTTGAATGGGCAACATGGAAAACATACAGGACAGGACCAGGGGGACCCGAGGACCAGGGTTAGGGAACACTTTTGTACGATCGGGATACACAGAAAATTCATCCAAATATTTTGGCTGAAAATGACTCAAAAGTGCATTTTCGGTTTTCGGCCGAAACACCTAAATCACTGAAACTACATGGCTGAAACAGGCTGACAGGTGAACTCTGTTTTCGTTTCATCGTGCTCCACCCTCATGTGGCAACTTGCTCTTTGATTCATGTGACGGCATTGTGTCACCTCGGGATATGGTCTTCTGGTAATGTTTGTTTTCTGTCTAGGATGACTGGTTGACGCACACACAATCAGTCTTCTAATGTCAAGAATGCATGTGTTGATTTTGTATTTTATTTGAGTTACCAGTGACTTGGAGTTGCCCATGGAGTCTCACATCTGCAAACATCTGCATCTCTCATGATCTCCTCAGGGAGTCTAATCAGCACTTCTGGGATCAACCTACTCCCAAGGGAGGGGAGATTCATGTTTACGCTTCTGTTTAATTTAACGTAGACATTTTCTGTTATGGATAGGAAGTTTGTAATTGTGATTTAGTTATTTGAGTTATCTGAAATGATTAGACGGGGGGGGGGGGGGGGGGGGAGATAGAGAGAGAGAGAGATAGAGAGAGAGAGAGAGAGAGAGAGAGAGAGAGAGAGAGAGAGAGAGAGAGAGAGAGAGAGAGAGTGCGTTTACATGCAGCCAGTGACCCTTTTAAAACCCGAATATTCACAATAACCTGGTTCCGCAGGTCCTTGTAAACACCACCAGAAACCCGGATATGCGTGTGTTCTGTGCATGCTCTGTTCGTAATGAATCTTGGTCTTTTGAGTAGCGAGACGTCTTGTATGCGCCAGAACAACGGAAGTAAACAACAAGTTGGGAGCAACATGGCGAGTCGCGGCACAGCACCACACTTTGAGTGATGAGGAAACTAAAGCGCAAACAAACGCGGTCGCTATCTCTTCCGAACTGGGAAAAATGTTGTTGTTTTCACGGATACCGGAACGAGAAGAACCGGAAATGACGCATATTGCGTCTGGACGCAGTCCATACGTCCTGACGCTACCCCAACGTCCGCATTTAAATCGGGTTATGCAAGTTAGAGGTAACTCTTTCTATTTATGCTTGTAAACGGGTTATTCTGATCAACTCAGAAACCCGAATGCCGACCTTAACCCGATCATAACCCGGATATTGGCTGCATGTAAACGTACTCAGAGAGAGAGAGAGAGAGAGAGAGTGTGTTAATTGTTTCCCTCTTGTTTGTAGAGTGGTCTGATCAGCCACTATTTAAGTTGAACCTGGTGTCTAAAAGTTTCTTCTTGATGATGTTGGTCTTGTGCTGGTGTCATTCTGACTGGTCTAGTCTCAGGAGATATCGTGAGTTTACATGGATATATTTATTAGGTCAAGTTCATGTTATTTTTGAAGCTTCTCCAAAATCAAATGGAGTTTTCAGAACCATCAGCAGTGCTTCTCTGGCTGGTTTGTGAAAGTCCCTGCCAAAAAAAAAATCGTACATTGGTAATGATTTCAAAAGTAAAGTTTTCCCCCTTTTAGTAATGCTGTTTTAGTGGGATAGCTGGAATATTAATACCAATTATGTGACACACTTTTTACTTTCAGTTTCACATCCACTGCATCTGCTCGGCCTTTCTCTTCTTTTACGTTCCAGCTACCTCTGTCACCATCAGCGGCGTTTTTGCAATCCTTTCTACACCCACCATGTCTTGAATATGAAGAAACAAGCTTTGGATCATGTGTGCGCAACTTGTTTGATATTCTAATGAAGCATACAACCGTTCCGATGCCTCTGGGCAAAGTAATAACTTGAGGGATTATATTTGCTCCTGTGGCTCGTTAAACCCAGCAATGATGGGTTCATTTTACAGTCCTCAGCAGGCCTTTCAGTTATAAGCCTGTGCATTTATAATGTTTTATTTTGAGTTATTAATAATTTATTATTTGATGTACACGAGTGGGGTCAAGTCAAACATTTTGAGTTTCAATTTATGTTGTGCATTATTGTAATATCATTGCTAAACCCCGGATAGAATTTTGTAATTGTTTTATTGCAATACCTTAATTTGATTGAGGTAATTACACTTGGCAGCCATAAATGCTACAGTTCTAATTATTGACATAATGTTTTCTTTCGGTTTTCAGAATTGGTTTCGTCATTTTCAGCTTTGGCCAAGCATTTTCATTTCGGTGCACCCTAGTGTAAAGTGCTCTATGAACAGATTTAATGATTGGTGTTTAAAACGTCAGCTGATCAAAACCCAATCATGTGTTCAAACTAGCAACTAACCTGACTGAAGGTAGGGGGAGGAGGGGGTCCCGGGGGAGGAGGAGGAGGAGGAGGAGGAGGAATAGGCATCCTGTTCCTGTGTTGGCACTGTTCTGTGAGGTAAAGGCCAGTATCTTCACTGTCTCCACTGGGGTGACACACACTGACTCCTTGATAAGAAAGAAATGAAATCAATATTAATGACATTTTAATCCAATTTCAATTCAAATCAGTTTTTTTATATAGCAACAAATCACAACAACATGCCTGTCAAGGAACTTCACAATGTAAAACATTCCAGTTGAGTTTAGTTAATGATAAATGACCTGTACTTGTATAGCGCTTTGCACTACAGTGTATACCACATTCATCAGTTCACACACATTCACACACTGATGGTGATAAGCTACAATGTAGCCACAGCTGCCCTGGGGCACACTCATAGAGGCAAGGCTGCCAAGCACAAGCACCACCGGCCCCTCTGACTGGCAGGTTAAGGTCTTCCCCAAAGACACAATAGCAGCACTCTCTGCTGGAAGCCAGTATCTATCACACAATCCTCTGATTACCGGACAACCCACTCTACCTCCTGAGCAACTGTTTAAGTATGCCAACTAGTTAGAGGTTTCCTATGTCAGGAAACCCAACAATTTGTGCAGGTCTGCATCCCGGTCGCGGCAGGGACTTTTCTCTTATTTTTATTAGCTGTACTTGCCAGTATGATGTTGTCATCCTTTTATTAGTAAACAGCTTTCTTTCACCAAACCAACCCGGCTCATCTCTTTTAGGAATATAAAGGACATCAATATCGACACCTTATCCTCCTGTAATGATAATATTCAGTTACAGGACAATCTCTCCTCTCCTGATGACCTGGCTGCACTCTACAATGATCAGTTAGCTCACATTTTAAACTCCCTTGCTCCAGTTACAACTCGTTCTGTTTCTTTCCGTCAGTCTGCTCCCTGGTTTTCCCTTCAACTCCGGACGCTGAAAATCAAAGCGCCTCTACAGAAAAACTGGTCTCACTATTCACAAAGAACTATATAAAAATCATATGACTCAGTGTAAGGACCTAAACACACTAACCAAACTACAGAATTACTCCTGCCTAATCAACTCCAATCGAGGCAACACCAAGTCACTGTACTCCATTATCAATAAAATTCACCGGCCATCTGACTCTCTCCCACCCCACACGTGCTCTACTGCTACTCCAGGGCTTCCCCCAGCACTTTAAAAGCCTGGCGGCCCGCCAGGCTTTGCTTGCCCAACCGCCAGGCTAAGCGTCATGCCCCACCCCTCTCCCCGACCCTACCGTGTCCGCTGACAGGAACGGCGCAGCGAAACTAGAGCCCTCCATCGGCTGATACTGGTGAGAAACAGCAGAACGTGTGCAACCCCCCCACCCTCGCTCTCACAGAGGAGTGCTGCGGGACGGAGCGCGCCCCCCGCCAGGCTTAACTCATTTTCTGGGGGAAAGCCTGTACTTGTAATGCCCTTATTCTGTTCTTTAATGAAAAAATAATAAACATTCACCGTGCAATCAACCAAAGCATCCCTCCTACCTCCCCATATGATCCTCCTGAACCAACACAGTAAATTTCTATGTTCCAACTTCCCAGTGCTTCTGAGATTAGGGCCCGACCGATATATTGGCCGGCCGATATTGAGTCATTAACACTATCCGCTATCGGCCAAAAAGACGGCCGATATGGCGGATATTGCGCTACCTATCCAGCAGATGGCGCCAGCTTTACGAACTCATGTTGTGGAAGTGGAGCCACCGTCACAGCACACATGCAGCAGGAGCAATTCAGTCAAGCAGAGACGACGGTGATGAGGAAGTAGGAGGTAAGTCTTCAGTTTTAAGCATATTTGTTGTGTCAGTGGTAAGTTGAACGGTAAAATAAGCAATGGCAAAGGTATGTTTCCCCTCAACATGCTTCCTAAGTTTATTGTGCGCCTCGTGGCCTCGTACTGAAGTTACCCTGAAAAAAAAAAACTGCCGCAGCATTACGCTCTACGCAGAGCTCACGCTGCTTCCCCTTGAGTCATGCAGGGCAGTAAGCAGGGTCCGAAATTAAATTTTTGACTCACCGGCCAAGTTGGCTGGTAGATGATGAAAATCTACCAGCCAAGCATATTTTTTTACCGGCCAAAACTCTAAACGATTTAGATCTACCTAAAGCATGTTATTCTATATTATGTTGATTCCAAACAGAGTGACAAAATAATTAAAACATCAATTAATAAGAAAAACAACTCTTTTGTCATTTTTACTATTTATTTATTTATTTTTAGAGATGTTTTTATGAACTCTTTCATTGAAATCTAGTCAGACTCCTTGTTTTCTCTGTCCATGAAGTCTGGCCTCCTGCTTCTGACAGTCTTTGTGCCAAAGCATTACAGCCTCATTTGGGTCCTAGTCCTTGATCTCTGGAGAACACAGCTGCACCATGAGAATATCTGAAAGTGTGTCAGGGCTAGGGTTGTCACGGTGACCGGTGTAGCGGTAAACCCCGGTAAAAAAGTTGACAATAATAATAACCGACTTGTTTTAAAAAAAATTATCTCTGTGGATTACCGTGGCTGCGGTGTAGGCGCGGTGACCCTTACCAGCCACCGTATCATCTGCTGAAGTTGCCGGCGGCACATGCGCACTTTGTTGTTTACGACCAAAACTTTCTTTAAGCTAAAGCTGAAATAATGGCCAAAGGAGGAGACGGCAGCACTCGGGACATTTATTATCCCTCAAAAAAGACAAAGTCGGAAGTACGGGCATCTTTTGGATATTTGAAGAATGCCGAGGGACAGTTGTCTGTGAACGGCAGCAACGCTGTGTGGCCATCATAATGTAGCCAGTGTCTCACGACTCCGCCGTCTCCAGTTCGCCACTTTTCACAGAATCTTCTGGTTGCCACTGGTCCTGGTGGTTTTTCTTCCAGTTCGACGAGTTTTCTTTTGGAAGGCTGGCTGACTCCAGTTAAAAACCGCCACATTTCACCGCTAGTTTTAACACGAAGCTAACCGCTAACTTGATAAACTGATTGAATGGGATAGGTGGAAATGATGTTGGATACGGCGTTCACGTTTTGCGTACGTTTGTGTAAGTTGCATGCAGGCGGGAGGAGTATCAGACATCCATGGAAGACGACTGATAAACATAACTAATTTGGTGCAAACATTTACTCGCCAGGTGGCAGGTAGAGCTCTAAAATTTACTCGCCAAATGGAGCAATTTGCTCGCATTTGGCGAGTGGCGAGTGTTAATTTCGGACCCTGGCAGTAAGTAAGCAACAATGGCGTTTTTCTGGTAGACATTCTGGAATATTCTCAGAAAATTTCATCCGCTCTTCTTCAGCAGTCTTTTCAAACTCACACAACCACTGTCGCTGCTGAGGACAGGTGAGGGGGGGGTTGGCAACAAGGCAATGAAGCGCTGTGATAGCAGGGAGTAGGAGGGGCGGTAATACGACGAGAAAACATTCCTCTACAATAGAATAAATCTATTGTATTTTTTTCAGTCTTATATTTTATATAAGGCTTTAATATTCCCACATACTAGTCATTTAACGTATCTTGGTTTTTATTTTCCTAATACTGTCGGCTTTGGAAAGGATCCAAAACACAAAAGTGTAAAACTCAAAAGTATTTTAATGCCAAAAATCAGGTGACAGAAATAAAAACAGGTAGCTAGGACGCTGAAACCAGCAGAGTATGACTGAAACTGAACCGTATACACTGAGGGGTGAGACATGACAGAGAACTAGTTATGAGGAGGAGCTGTGAGTGGGTGCAGAGTACAGCAGGGGAACATGGGAGGAACTATAAATGAAAATAATTTAAAAGAAGAGGAAAGAAACCTAAAAGGGAAAGAAGAATAACTGGGAAAAAAACTGACAACAAAAGGAGTAGAAAATTCAGTGGAAGGAAAAAATAAGACTTGAATACTAAATGAGAAAACTTTAACAGCGTAAGAAAATTTAAATTTTTATTTTGTGAGTGACATTTATCGGCCATTATATCGGCTATCGGTCTTTGTTAAAAGTTTTATATCGGTATCGGTCCCAAAAAAAGCATATTGGTCAGGCCCTATCTGAGATATCAGATATTTCTACAAGTCAAAGCCTTCTACCTGCTTTCTTGACCCCCTTTCCACGGCCTTGGTTAAATCCTGCCTCCCCTCCCTGCGCCCTCTCATCTCAGCTCTCATACATGCATCCCTTTCCTCCAGTATTGTTCCCTCAAGCTTCAAAACTGCTGCAGTTACTCCAATACTTAAAAAACCTGGTTCAGATCCTAACATTTTTACTAATCTCCGCCTCATCTCCAACCTACACTTTGTCTCCAAATTCTTAGAAAAAAATAGTCGCCGCCCAGCTCCACACCCATCTGACCCTAAACTCCTATGAACCCATCCAGTCCGGTTTCCGTCCACTTCACAGCACAGAAACCGGCCCTCCTCAAAATAACAATCTCCTCATTGCTGCTGATGCCGGTCTACTATTAAGGGTGACGGTGTCACAGGAGTTAAGTGCTCGCCCCGTAATCGGAAGGTTGCAGGTTCGAGCCCAGCTCAGTCTGTCGCTGCCGTCGTGTCCTTGGGCAAGACACTTAACCCAAATTGCCCACTGGTGGTGGTCGGAGGGACCGGTGGCGTCAGTGCTCGGCAGCCTCGCCTCTGTCAGTGCGCCCCAGGGCAGCTGTGGCTACATCATAGCACATCCCCACCAGTGTGTGAATGTGTGTGTGAATGGGTGAATGACTGGTTGTGTTGTAAAGTGCTTTGGGGGGTTCCAGGATTCTAGGAAGCGCTATATCAAATACAGGCCATTTACTATCCATCCTGGTCCTCCTTGATCGGAGTGCAGCCTTTGGTACAATACAGGGTTTCCCTTACATAGGCGTAGCCGTGGCGGGCCGCCACGGCTGAAATCCCACCGCCACGCCTACAAGACCCCAAGTTTTTTTGTTTTTGTTGGCGCTGTTTCCCGAAGAAGCAGCGGGAACTACTATGTTGTCGCTTGTGATCACAGCAAGGAGGAGCAGGCAGGGCAAGGTGAAGTTACAGCATAAGTTACTGAGTTTAAAATTAGAAAGGTAGCAGTGGATATAATCAGGGGTGGACCTTTAAAGCGCCCGAGCGCCAATGGCGCTAAATTTTCTC